TTCATATTTTATAAAATTTAAATTACAAAAATTTGAAAAAGAAAAGATCCAAGCCGTTAGATTCAAAATTCAACGGCTTGGTGAGTTTAGTGGGATATTGCCTACCAGGGGGTTGATGTGCATGTCAGGCCGGTTAACATGTTCGATTAGATTGGGCTAAAAAGTTGTAGTTTTTGCATTTTTTTGCGTTGTAAATGCTCGAACCTCTCTATGAACTAAATCTCTACTTGTAAGATTTTTCATTCTCCTTATTTGGATTACTCTTATAATAAAGGAGTGACGAGAACTCCTTCCACTTCTTTATTTCTCATCTCAAATTAGGTGAATTGGAACTTGGAAGGGATTGATCAAAAAAATTTTTTTTTTTGATGTTTTAATTTATTATTATTTTAATCAAAATATGTCATAATTAAATATTTATTTTATTTTATTAAATAAAAAATATAATTCCCTTCTTCCTTTATTTTTTTCACTCAAACAAAGTTAACATTATTATTATTATTATTATTATTATTTGTCATTTCCAAAGCCGCCCTCCCCCCTTCCAATTTCCTTTCCTAACTTTTATTTAAATCAACCTGTTAAGGCATGTTGGGCTGCTGTAACTTGTTTATGAATTAAATACTAGATCCATACCTAATTTCCACAACACTTTCCTCAAGGTAGGAACTAAATTTAAGTTTTTGCAGTAGAAGTTTCAATACATTCCATTTTAATGATTATAAATGATACAACGAATAAACATTTGACAAATCACATTACAATTTAAACTAAAACTTGAAACTAAATTTAAGTTAGGGTTTTTTTTTTTTTTGGTATTTAGGGTAGATTAAGTGTGTAATTAATAATTTTTTATATTAATTGATATTGAAAAATATAAAAATGAATATTAATTTCAACACATCAATGTCGTAGATCATTTTAATTTAATAATTGATTAAATAAAGTTAATTTTTATTGTTTTAATATTAATTACATCTTTAAGAGTACATATTTGAAAAACTTAGAGTTATGAACTATTTACACATAATTTTGATTATTTATTTTCTACTACAAATAATTAAAATTTATTATGATTTTTTAAATAATAAATAAAAAGTTGATAAATTTCATCTATTCATAATGAAAACCTGAATGTCAAAATTTTATATGAGGGATGTGCAAAAACTCTATGTAAATAAATCTTAATTCTTCATTCTTAAGATTTCATTGATTTTGATTTTTAATTTTTAGTTTTGATTTTCTCAAATTAACATAGTTGTAATATTTAGTTTTTAATTTTAATTTTCATAAACTCTTAACACTTCGTTAGTTTCCATAAATTTTATAGTTCTTGAAAATTAAAATTAAAAATTAAAAATTAACAATTTCTAAAAACAAGTTTAAATATTGATAGGAAAAAAAAAACTTGTTTAATAATATTAGAATTATTTTTATTTTTTATTTTTAATAATCATAATAATATATTATAAATATATAAAATTAAATGAATTTTTTTTATTTCAATTATAAAATTTATAAAACTTAAAACCAACAGCTAAAAATCATTATCATCGTCCCAAGCGTATTATCCTTAGAATCCGATTCCAGCTTACAAACCGAAAAATTAAGGCCGTTCTTTTACA